AAGGGTGCCGTTTTCCAACTCCGCTCGCGGTATCCTCAAGGCACTTGCGTAGATAGCAGGAGTTATTTAAATTCTGATTACGAATTAATTACGATCATGACGTTCACCCTTGGCGCTGGCGCTCCTGCAGTACACCGCTTTACAAAGGCTGAGCTCAGAAGATAACCGCGGTGTCCTTCAGGAGCGCCAGACCAAGTATGAAAGTCATATTGTGCACAGCGAAAGGTAATTGCCTACCAAAGGCTTTAGGCAGCAGTTCAAGACTTGATAGCGTACAGCGTCGCGCACAGCGTCCTACAGCGCCGCTTCGCAACGTACTGCTATTTCCAACGTTAGGATGATTAGAGTTGCTTACAGAGAAAAGTGGGAAGGTTGCTGGAGTTTTCTTGAGAAATTCACGGAAAGTGAGACTGATACAGCTGTAACTATCTGACGCCATCCTTGACGTTACTCTTAGATCATATTTTTCGTGGGTAGAGCTTAGCGTAACAGTGTCGCTTCTTCCTACTGAGATGCATTTTCTGCAAAAAAAACCACCCAAGAGTCCTCGCGCACTAAAAACGCAACGCATGTTTTTTTTTATCGGGAACAGAAGAAGCTAAGGAATTTCTTGTTTGCCTTGTGTTAACGCATTGGTGACCAGACAGTGTTCGCGTGCCTGTTGTGGGAGATAAGGCCATTTTTACGCTCCTAGGCCAAAAAAAGTACAAGAAACTGTCAAAGCTTTGTTGGCTGTGAATGCCTCGAAAACCGGCATAAACCGGCATTCGGCCATACGTGTACGTGGATCCAAAAAACTATTGTCATCGGAGTCAACGGCCCCACTGGCAAGGCATCCAAGCAAAGCCAGCATGACACGAAATGCAAAGCTGTGAACAATAATTAAAGTCACAAAGGTAAATAAAACCAATTATCACAGTCTTCTGTATCGTCAGATAAATACGAGAAACAAAGAGAAGAGGGTTGAATACAGAAAGAATGAATGCAGAATCCAATGCCGCTTATGGATTATGGAGCGAAATCTGCTTTTCGAGTTTGCCCCCAATCTGGCTGATCAAGGAAACAGTTTATGCAGGTTTCGAGGCATTCACAGCCAACAAAGCTTTGACAGTTTCTTGTACTTTTTTGGCCTAGGGAGCGTAAAAATGGCCTTATCTCCCACAACAGGCACGCGAACACTGTCTGGTCACCAATGCGTTAACACAAGGCAAGACAAGGAGTTCCTTTGGCGCGACTTTGGGTGTTTTTTGCAGAAAATGCTCTTAATAGGACAGAAGGACACTGTTACGCTAAAAGCAGTACCAGAAAAATAGTGACTAATGGAGTAACTGTCAAGGATGGTCAGATAGTTACAGCTGTATCAGTCTCACCTTTCCGTGAATTTCTCAAGAAAACTCCAGCAACCTTCCCACTTTTCTCTGTAAGCAACTCTAATCATCCTAACGTTGGAAATAGCAGTACGTTGCGAAGCGGCGCTGTAGCGCTACAAGTCTGAACGCTGCCTTAGAGGCGGGCGGAATCGGAGACGGCACTTTGAGGCTGCTAAATTTCAGCCTCGCTCCCTTATACGTTGAGCGGAGAAGGTGGAACACTCCTGGCCATTCACGGGCAGATCTGTACATGTCGTTTTGGGACAGAACGAGTTTGAACCCAGATAACGTCGCTGTAACTCTTTATACACTATTTTACCCGTAAGAATCAACACTATCCATAAATTGTCCTAGTTATACTATCGTCATCCTGTATATCTTCCGCTACTTTTAAATTCAAACGGGCGGTCTTTTGCGTCTTTTGATTTTCTTCTTATCACGCTGCTTTGCTGAGAAACCCGATGCCAAGCTCACCCATATATAACTGCTGTTTTGGGAAACCAGCGCTACCATCTGTTTCTGCCTCCCTGTATTCTAAGAGATCTCATTAAGAGTATAGTTTTGGGCGGCTAACAAATATTGTTTTTCACAGAAATGCTTTCTTTCTCATGTGAAGGAAGTTGGTTACCGCGAAATGTCTCGAGATTCTCGGGAACATTATTATGCGCAATTATCGGCCTCAAGTTGCTCGCATCGCGACCACCTTCTTAGCGCATTCATTGATTATATGAAAGTCGGGCGAAACAGTGTTTTTTTTTATTGGCGGCACAAACCATACAAATGTATTAAACGCTAATTGCCTAAAAAGGTAAGCCACGGTAATTCGGTACTTACTCAAAAATATTAGCAGGTGTGCTGTAAAGTTGTAATATGCGACGACCAAACGAAGTTAAATGGCTGTAAATCGGCCAAATAGTCCTTTGTTCTGCACGGCACTTAATGAGCATTTTTTTTGGACGAGTTCTCCCTCGACATCGAGCTAACAGCCGCTCCGGTAGACATGCATTTATGTACATACAGCAACAATTCATATCAGTTGTATATCATAAATGAAGCGATGAAAGTTCCAACGCGTTGACCGTCGCGACTTTGTAGGTGGGGCGTTGGCGATGGTTGTCTGAGTACGCAAGTTCAGGCTTGATAGGGCGCGTATGCATCTTTGTTTGGAAAAGACGCCTTGTAGCGCCTCAGGGGGAAGGAATTCTACCTTTCTAAACGTACTTCTCCTACAGCCTCGTAGATATATCGTGCCACGTGCTTTCAACTCCGATATGGGGCTTTTGTGGAGGCGATGTAAATTGCATGTAATGAGGCGGTGATTGTGACATGGAAGGTACCGAAACATCTTTCGTTATACATTTATTCTGCGGTGGCATGGCCATGGTCGTCACAGGGTATTTTAGGATTATCGCATATGCTACGTATTACGAAACAAAAAAAAACTAGTTCTAAAATGAAATGATATAGGCCTATATTCTTCCCTCTGGAGAAGAATATAGCTAGAAAAGCGCCACAAAGCGCAGCACGTTCCTTTCACCTCTTCATTCTACGAACCATGGCCACGTCTTCCGCCCTAACCATAAAGCTCATCAGTGAGGTGGGGTCGACGGAACAAGTACATAGGGAGGAGTTGAGCGACTTGAGGTTTTGTGGAAGTTTGTCGTTTTCTGTGCGACATGTATGACTTGAGTTTGTCGTTTTCTGTGCATGACTGACTGGTCTGGTCCCAATAATGTCTTCAGAATGGTTCATTCGAACACTAGAGGTGGTCCCATGAAGATCTATTTGTCAAACCAAGACTAATTTACGTGCCAAGAGCTTCACCTTCAGGGCGGGCAGCGCGTATTTGAAGTTAACAAAAGCCATACCTGCCACTTTGTCACATGCTCAGTTCAGACACCGTATTTCCAACAGGTTATTGAGGTATGGTGGGTCTAGCTCTCTTGAGACTGGTCGATAAGTTGGTATTTCATTTGCTGGTTAATTACTGTTTTCAAAAAATTGTAACTACATATCAATATTAGAAATTGTACATGTAATGGTTTGATGAATGTAAAAATGACCTTTTTTCTCACGTATGCCTTATGCGCACGTAATAAACTTATACTTTTGCTTATACTGTACTGACTGTAATGATACATAATCATTTCTGAGCAAAAGATTACGCTCTGATTTTTGATGCTGCTGTGCGAATAACAATTCTCAAATGATAATTAAATTCCCGTTGTCGGATCAGAAATTCCTTGGTGCATTTCAGCTCAAAAAAACGAAGGCATTCTCTCTAAACATCCCTTCAAAAGGGTGATTCCTTCGAAGTCAATGATTTTATCCTCTCTTGCATCCGCAAACACAGACCTGCAGAACCCTCCCATCAGGCTCATCTAGACAGCTACCGGTAGATTTATTTGAGCAAATCCGAGGCGTGGCGATCGTGACTAAATCACATGTATCACCTGTGCTCCCGCTGGTCATCGAGTTCCTCGAGCGGGCTAAAGTAACGTCTCCATTCGTCCCTGCAACGTGCAAGAGTTGCCCGAATGAGCTCTTTCTGGGCGAGGGACGCGATGGACATCATACAAGGGTCAAGCATACGTTGTGGAATCCGCGACAGGAAGCGTCGTATTTCTTCATCCCATCGGGACGGCAAAGATCAAAACTGAACACTGCAGCGACATAGCTTGTAGGATGGGTGATGCGTCTGGAAAGGAACTAGAGTACGTGGCGCATTCCGTGGAGGTACTGATTAGTGCCTTTGTGCTGCATTTCCTATCCACCACATGAGGAGAAACTGTACGGAAAGCCTACCTTCCAAGCTTAGATGATAATGTGGGCTTTATAGGAAGATCCTCATGCTGCAGCTGAAGCTGAAATTTAGAGCAAAATACGCTATGGACGAGTTTTGCTGCGCTTAGGCTACTGCAAAGATGTAGTGCTCATTGAAAAGAAAAAAAAACTTGTTTCTGAGGCGTTGTAGATCCCCGTTCCACGCTTCACGTGAACGAACTTATATCCACTGAAAGATACAAAACTCTCGCTCGCCAAAAATTTTCCGCCTTATTTCCTGGTCAGAAGCTGTCGTGCAAGATTGATAAAAGCCGTAGTCTATTTCGCATAGAACCTGCCTTTATGACATAGATCGTTCTTACCGCTCCGCGAAAAATCGTCTCTGAATGATGTTATACCCTTTTAAAAATACATACTGTGTGAATGCAGTGGGTCGAAAGCGCCCCATTTTCAGCACGCCACGCGGCCGCAGTACGGTCAGTGCCTCGGCTTTCGTTTTGAATCTGTTCAGTTTTCAGTGCTTTTGTTCCATTGCTTAGGTAAAATGTTCCTAGACACTTAGATACTTATTCGGTGAAGTCACAATACACAACATCTACAGTTACATCCTGATGAACAGAGCCTCCACACACGTCACAAGTCCTTAAATGGGGGAAGGGTGGGAGATGGGTGGTGAGCGACACCCTTTCCAGGGGGAGAGGATTGTAACAACCCTCTAATTTTCCGCAATCGCAATGATCCTTGTCCCTGACGCAACCGCTCTCACCCAACAAATTTGAGCCGTGTCACAGAAAGAGGAGCACCGGCGTGAGCCAGCGATCCCACCGGGGGATTAAACTTTTGGGAATGGGCGTACAGGGATTTGTTGCAGGTACGAGTTGTTTTTATATTTCAGGTATCAAACCTGTGGCTTTTGATCCTACACAACACGAACATGTTATCGAGAAAGGATTCTGCAATATTTGTCAGATTCATGTGTGAGTATTTCCATTAATGAGCTGCTGCTGCTACTACTACTACTACGGTATAGTATTGGGATGGCCCATAACTAGTGGCGTTTTTTCTTACATAAAATTTTGTGAGGAGGATGAGAACTTTTCTTTAATAGAAGTTTCTTGCTGTAAAGGAGAGCGTGCTTAGTTTTCTATTCATTCTTGGCTTTTGTCAATCTTTAGTAGATCAAAATGGAGTGTTCGGTTGAAAATAAGCGAGTTTTTGACAAAAGTTTTTTGCTCTTGTTTTTGACTGTCAAGATGCAGAAACAGCAAAACTTGTGATGTATGCGACCGGATTGGTGCTTCTTAGGAAAGACTGAATTCGGTAGAACGATCAAGAAATGAGAGCCTGGACCTTATGAATGCGCATCGCATGGGGCGCCCTCTTGGGGAGTGACTGCCTGAAGCGCCCGTCCACCAAATTTTCAACCTTACTAATCAATTGAAAGTGATACTCAATGAAACGTAGAGGCTTTCAGGTCATCCATTCAACCGATACATACCTTCTCAATCCTTCCTACTTTTGCAATCAGCCGGCTAGTGACGAACTAGAATTATATCGCTCTTTCAAAGGCTAAAACGCTGTTCAAGATATAATAATTCAAAATACGTAGAGCAAAATGAAGCACTAAAAACCGCAAGGCATTCTCCGGTCACTGGGCGGATGAATGCTCTCAACTATCATAGTGTGGAGAGCGTTAGCTATCAGGCAACCGGAAAAAAATCGTGCGGTTTTGAAGGTAGCGAAATAATAACATAAAAAACGGGTTAAACTTAGATTTATTCCGAAAAATAATTACCCAAGTAATACACTTTCCCATTTAGACACAAGAGCATATATTCCATTTTTGTAAAAATCTTGCTTTTGGGAATCAAAGAAATGTTTTAGTTCGTTGTCCAAAGCCACTTCATTTTCAAATCGCCGATTCCTCATGTGGTTGTCCAAGGCCAAAAACAGATGATAGTCACTTGGAGCAAGGTCTGGCGAGTACGGAGGGTGAGGTAGAATTTCCCATCCTAGTCGCGCTATTGTTTCCTGAGTGATTCTTGCAGTGTGTGGTCTTGCATTGTCCTGGTGGAAAACCACACCTTTTCTGTTCGCCTTAATTGAAAGTAATCTAAATTAACAAATACACTGAATGACACTCCTTGACATATGTCTTAACATGTATTCAAAGTTACCCTACCACTAGATCCAGTTTACTGAATAGTAAACTGGATCTAGTGGTAGGGTAAATAAATAGTAATAGTATACTTCATAAAAGTAGACAAAAAAAACCGCACCAACTTTATTGGTTACCTGATACAATGCTAGCTGATGCTCCAGTTTTTCACTGGAAGGGCTTAAAATTCGAAAATTTCATTAGCTGATATTCAGGAACTGACGCGGTGTTCCTACGGGACCACCCTCCGATCACATTCCTGCCCTCTCTCCAGAGCGCGTGACGCGGGCGCCTCGTGTCCCTTTGGGATGTCAACTACCCCTGGAAACAAACGTTCACCAAAATCGGTCCTGGTAGAAAGAGTCTGTAAAAACTGGCTTAATTTCTTAAGAGTGGTGTATTAGAAGTTGAATAGTGCCATTCAATCTTACGGTATGCCTAGTTGTTGCGTTCAGAGCCCGACACGTTTAATCTCACGCTAAGGCTGCGTTTATACTTTGCGGCAGCGTAGCGTAGCGCTTCCAGCGTACGCCAGCGGCAGTGCCGGGGAGAGGATGCATATCGATCTAGCTCGATCTAGCGTCACCAGCGTCACCAGCGGCACGCTGGCGTACGCTAGCGCACGCTGGCGTAGCGAGGGCACGGGAAGCATAGCTATCGATCTAGCTTCACCAGCGTTTCTCGAGCGTTTCTCCAGCGGCACCAGCGTTTTGCTAGCGCTTGCAGCGGCAGGGAGTAGAGACTATGTGGCCGTGAGAGACGCGGAATCGACGTGTATTGTAGAGACCATGTGGCCGTCGGAGACGCAGAAGCGATGTGCATTGTAGAGACCTAAGGAGCGAGCGAGAGACGCGCAATCGATTTGCGCCTTTTTACCCTCCAGCTCTCCATAGTCATCTACTCCCCGTTGCCCGCTGCAAACGCTAGCAAAACGCTGGTGAAACGCTGGAGAAACGCTGGCGTACGCTAGCGTGCCGCTAGCGTACGCCAGCGTGCCGCTGGTGACGCTGGTGAAGCTAGATCGATATGCATCCTCTCTTCGGCACTGCCGCTGGCGTACGCTGGAAGCGCTACGCTACGCTGCCGCAAAGTATAAACGCAGCCTAACCTTTGGGGGTACTGGTACACCCTGTTTCCCTGAACTTATAATCTTGTAAACTCTCCGGAAAGGCATAGCTGAATCACCTTCTGATGATAAAATCACTTGCATGCTGTCCAGGTAAGAGGGTGCAGTAAGTTCTGGTGTCGGCTAAGCCATGTTGGAACAGCTACACTGCCTCGGTGCACACATGACGCGATATGGCTCCGTTGGATAGTGGCTCTTCTCGAGCCCCTCTCGAGGCACCTATCGCCTTGAAGGCTATTTATGGTACAAGTGGTGCAGCCTATTGAGTTCTGATTGTAAAGTAGATCTCTGGTTAGCGACTACAGTAGGTAGATCTGATGAAATTGCAAGGCATAAAAATATTGCTAGGTTTGCTGTTTGCGTTTCTTTTATGATTTTTTTTCTGTAATTTCGGGTACAGCAGCAAAGAAATATGAATTAGTTCAAAGCTTCCCAAAAATTATGATTTCCAGGGAGGAGAAGACGAAGCACTGCCGTCGATGTAACGTCTGTATCGAAGTTTTCGACCATCATTGTATCTGGTTGAACAACTGCATCGGTAAAAAGAACTATAGGTAAGGGAACATTTCATCTATTTTTTTGAGTGAATTGCCATACAACGGAATAATCCCAAACATCTTCAGAGTCGTTTTTTAACACTTTTGAAATGAAGTTTTCTAGTAAATGCCAACTATCACTTGGTTAATTCGTTACTGGGTCTTGCCGCTCAGAGGCAGTCGGCACGATGATTCTCTAAGACATGTAGAACCAGTACGCCTAGCAGGACTGAATTCGGCGCCCCGCAAGCGCTGTGTGGCGCATTTTCCAAGGGAGGTACCCTTGTAGCGCCCTGTCAAACTACAACATACCGGCCCAGATGCCCACCGCGCCCACCTGCCCACAAATGTCTACCGCTTCATTTTCAAAGAATAATATGAGGC